GCGACCCGGGTTCGATCCTCAGCACCACATACCAACAAAGATGTTGTGTCCGCCGAGAACTAAAAAATAAATATTAAAAATTCAAAAAAAAAAAAGAATTAAAAAGTTGGGGTCTGGCTGGGTGCAATGGCACATGCCTGCAATCCCAGCTACTCAGGAGGCTGAAGCAGGAGGATATGAAGTTCAAGGTTGGCCTGGGTTACTTAGTGAGACCCCCAGCAACTTAGTGAGACCCTGTCTCAAAAATTAAAAAGCCCTGGGGTGTAGCTAAGTGGTTGAATGCCCCTGGGTTCTGTCTCTAGTACTGCAGGGAAAAGAAAACCCAAATAGAAAATTGAGCTAATAAAATACAATAAGTGAAATTAAGACCTCAACAGGTGGATTTAATTGCAGATTCAATATAGCCAAGCAGTCAATTATGAAAAACAGGTCAGAAGAACTATGACAATGAAACCTGGAGTAATTAGAGGATGAAAATACAGAAGACAAGACATAAACTGAGCTAACTGTGTGTGTGTGTGTGTGTGTGTGTGTGTGTGTGTGTGTGTGTGTAGAGCTGGGGATCAAACACAGAAGTGCTGGGGATCAAAATGGTAGGAGCTTGCCCCTCTACCACTGAGCTACACACCCAGCCCCTGGGCTAACAGAATTTTAATTGGAGTCTTAGAAGATGAGAGAAAAGAGGAAGAAGCAATCTTTTATTTTTAATATTTATTTTTTAATTGTAGTTGAACACAGTCTCTTTATTTTATTTATTTATTTGTGGTGCTGAGGACTGAACCCAGAGCTTTGCACGTGCTAGGCGAGCGCCCTACTGCTGAGCCACAATCTCAGCCCCCAGAAGAAGCAATCTTTAGAGAAGCAATATCTGATACTTACCTAGAATCAAGCAAAACCATCAATTTATATATTCATGAAACCCAGTGAAGAAACCTACCTTCTGAAAGTACGCAAAAGAAAAAATATTTTAAAACAACTAGAGAATAAAGACTTTTCAACCCTCAAAGGAGCAACAGACTGTCACTCATATCTCAACAGCAAAGGGGAGGACAGAACGGCCAAGGACTATAACTGCCCGTCTAGAATATTATGTCCAGTGAAAATGTCTCTCAGCTGGGTGCTGTGACACATGCCCCTAATCCCAGCGACTCAAGAGGCTGAGGCAGGAGGATCACAAGTTCAAAGCCAGCCCCAGCAATTTAGGGAGGCCCTGAGCTCTTAGTGAGACCCTAAAAAATATAAAAGCTGGGGATGTACCTCAGTGGTAGAGCACCCCTGAATTCAATCCCCAGGACCACAAAAACAAAACAATCATCATTTAGGGCTGGGGTCGTGGCTCAGGGGCATGTGTGCGGCATTGGGTTCAATTCTCAGCACCACATAGAAATAAATAAAATAAAAACCCATTGACAATATGTGTGTGTGTGTGTGTGTGTGTGTGTGTGTGTATAAAATTAAACTGATCATGGAGGTATCAAAAAAAAAAAAGGTTTAAGAATGAAAAAGATTGC